AATTACAAAAATATTACATTTAACGAAAAATGTTTTATTTGAGTATAGTTGAGAATGATTTTAAGAGTTAAAAATTATGTATGTATTATATGTAATACAAAAATATGTATCATAAACACATAAAAGGAAGTATACATTGTAGGAGCTCTGGTCCCTGTTCATTTACTTATAATTACCTTTCACCTTTTCTTTTGTTCAATAGGCTATAAATTGCATATAGTATAAAAAGTACAAAATTGAATGCAGTCTCTCAATTAATATAAGGCCATAAAAAAGAAACTCTAATGTTATACAATAATAATAAATACTTGTTTAATGTCGTTTTAGATTAAGTACAGCAGGTCACACTGCAGGACAGTGCTGTCACTGCTCGACATGTCATGTCAACTCAACTCCATATATCCTATTGCCGAGACAATGAAGCGCAGAGAGAGACGGACAGACGAAGGCTGGTCACTGAACATGGTCTGCTGGTCTTTGGATGAATTAAACGACCCCGTACAACCTTCTGTCGGCTAAGTGTCTGATTCTTCGAGAGCCGTCCAGTGTCACGCATGTAGTAGCTACACTGCCAAGCTAAACCAAAGCTAAGCCCACAGATGTCTCAACATCTCTAGGAAGTCTGACTTTTCCTGAAGGTTGTGTATGTACACATAAGCTATCTGTGCCCCTGCTGGACAATCCAGTTTGAGCTGGCCACAGTGTTTTGGACAAAGTACGAGAACGTGTTCTGGCTGGTCTTTAAGATGCTCATTTGCTTGACCAGCAACCTAAAAATCACCTCAGCCCCTAGTATGAGCAGATTGTAGATGATTTATTGCTGGTCCACAATGGTCAACCGGCCTGGACCAACTAATAACCATGTTAGACCAGCTAAAGTCTTGACTGGGCCAGTTAACTGCCACTCTAGACCAGCAGAATGACCAATTTAGAGCAACTAACAGGCAGTTTGACCCAGCTGATGACCAGCTAGAAATCAGTTAGCATGTTCCAAACACAGCTACCATCTTAAACTGGGTTTTCTACCAGGGTGTGTTATTTAAATACTCCCAAAACGATTTACAAGGCTGCTACTCATCGGAAAAGCAATTAATTTACATTTGGATTAATTCAGCGTTCGAAATAACACAATAGGTCTACATGCGATGTATTTTATTATTATGTGCCTACATTAAAAGTCTAAAATTCGCGTACTTTACTAATAAAATTGACATAAATACGCACACGCAGATTAGTGTACAACATGGGCGACCAAGAACTCATTTATGATTTATTATAATCATATTTGGACAGTCTTGTATGAGGAACTCTGAACACAATGACAGCAATTAAAAAGTTTTATGAAAAACAAGTTGACGCACACGATATTTGCATGTCTGACATACCTATGGTGGTAATAACCGTGATGGCGAAGTAAAAGGAGCCAGCGAACCTCCACTGGACTCCAGCCTTGTGCGGCTTCAGCTGCAGCACGACCCGCTCCAGCTCGTCAAAATTCACTTTGCTCAAGTTGTATTTGTCCGTTAGCTCTCGCTTCCGATCGTCCAGGATTTTCTTTTGGGTGATCTCCATCTTGGACTCTAAAGCGTCAAAAACAGCCGCTCCGACGAGCAAATAAGTGAAAGTGCAGATGATTAACACGAGGGTCCTGATGTTTTGTCTCTTCATGGTCAGAGCGAATGAAGCGAGCCGCAAACTTGGAGGACTGAGGACTGTTTCATTGCGACGGGGCTCACTGAGCTGTTCCTTCAGCACCACGGGTGCACATGTGCCTGTCGAGTCAACACATCTCAGCCGTGTTTCATCTTCATAACCTCCCATTGGTACAAAACAGACAGTTCATTTGCAGACAGATTTTAAAGGGGCCTCTGAAGATGGAGCTACAATAACCCGAGCGTTTTAAATAGGCTGGGCTCAGCAAACATCGGGAAAAGTGGGACAAATAAGATTAATCAGATTAATAAACGTAACAATGGCTCATAAATACATTTGCATGACATCATCATAGTGGAGATGATCAAGCTTCAACAGCTAGCTGACAAGTGCATTAAAAATCCACCACCGCATGAAAACTTTATTCTAAAACATTTAAAGAATCGAATTATTCGGTGACTGAATTATCAAATACAAAAATAATTATTGTTGCAAATTGCATTTCATCACAAGATATTTCTAAGTACTATGTTAGATGAAGTGAAAGTTGGTTTAGTGAAGGTAAACAATATTTCTGACTTGAATAAAAGCAGTCAATTTAGTTAAGTTACCATTTTAGGTTATTTTTCAGTGTAGCTTTTAGGACTGCAAAACGATCGATCACGATTAATTGATTCAAAATAAAAGTTTATGTTTACATTAGTGCTGTCAAACGATTAATCGCATCCAACATAAAAGTTTTTGTTTACATAATATAGCCTATGTGTGTGTACTGTGTATATTTATTATGTAGGCTATATATACACACTTATACAGTATATATTTTGAAAATATTTACATGTATTTACATGTATATGTTTATATTCATGTAATTTATATTATAAATAAATATATTTAATATATAAACATAACATATTTCTCTTAAATATATACGTGCATGTGTGTGTATTTATATATACACATAATAAATATACACAGTACACACACATATATTACGCAAACAAAAACCTATTTTGGATGCTATTAATCGTTTGACAGCACTAGTTTACATACTAAATGTGTGTGTACTGTGTTTATTTATTATGTATATATTAATACACACATGTATATATGTTAGATTTATATATAAAAAACATATATTTATAATATAAATTATACAAGTGTTTACATACGAATACATACATATATTTTTTAAATATATACATCTAAGTGTGTGTATTTATGTATACACAATAAATATACACAGTACACACAAATATAGTATGTAAACATAAACTTTTATTTTGAAACGATTTATCGCGATTAATCGTTTTGCAGCCCTAAAAGGGACAGTTCATTAGAAATTTAAATATTCAAGTTGTTCCAAACCTGTATGAATTTTGTCCTTCTGTTAAACACAAAGGAAGATATTTTGAAGAATGTGGATAACCACACAGTTTCTGGTCCCCACTTGCCGTCAACTGTTTGTTTACCCAACATTCTTCAAAATATCTATTTATGTTGAACATGAGAAAGAAAGTTTACAGATTCTGGATCTATCCTATAGAGTCTGGATATTTTGTGATATCCAGATTGTAGCTGTTCTATAGCACATGACGGAAAGTGGTTTTACATGGTTTCTAGTTACAGCTTGCTGGTCATGAACTGGTCCAAGCTGATCTAGATAATGGATTAGCTGGAATACCAGGTTGTGAGGCTGAAATCAAGCTGGTAGACCGTAATTGAGCTGGTTAAAGCAGTTAGTCCACCTTTCACCAGTAACATAACTGTCACTATGCTCAAAAAACCAACATATCCACCTTAAGTTGATGAGATACAGATTTCCATAAAGGTCACAGACTTTTTTATAGAACAAAATTGTTCTAAAGACATGTTTTGTAGTATTTCACATACTTTTAAAAGCACTGTCTCACTTAGCTTATGATCTGTCCAATAAAACATTAAAAAAGAGGAAGTGCCTAACTACGCTCAAATGTCCATATCACATTATTAAATGAAATTGTCAAATCTACCAAAACTGTCCTACTTTTGCACACCTCACCCTATCATAAAAAAACAAAAAAAATACAATGCTTTACAAAAAATTCAATTGATGTTGATCAATAATTGAGCTTAATGCAATGACCTCTCTGTGTATTGTTCATTCTAGTTAGATTCCCTCCGTTTCCTGAAGGATGCGGTAAGTGAGACTAAATGAACTAGGAACGTGATACTGTCAGCTCAGATAATCAGCCTCGCTGACTCTGCCCAGATTCAAAATGTCACAGATATTTGACCATAATCAACCGCAAAATACAGCCATCTTCATCAGGATGAAAATACAGCTGGTGACAGGCTAATATAACTAGTAAAAGGTAAAAACATGTTTTATTCATATTTTTATGGTTTATGTTAATATGGCAATTCAAAAACCATTTCTTATAGTGTATCTCTTATAGTAATGTCATATATAATAATAACAGAAAGTTAAATGCAGGTTGTGATGTTGATCTGATGGCTGAATGGATCAAACGACTTCCACTCTCTTCCTCTTTCCTTCAGATTGTGCTCATATACAGGTGCATCTCAATAAATTAGAATGTCGTCCTGAATATCAGATAAATGATGTAGTGTACATGCGTCGACTGACCACGAGAGAGCGTAGTTGTGCAAAACTTGCAATAAAGCAGATGCATATTGAGGCCATCATAACGAAATGCACCAGTTCATGTGGAATCTGACAGAATGCATTCAATAATAAATAAAGGCTTGAACCTTGATGTTGCAGCATATTTTGCATGTTACACAGTGGCTGCTAATTTCTGTAGTTGTTTTGCCATGCAAATTACAGCCAACACAATTCCAAACCAGTAGGCTATTAGCATTCACCCTAGAGTGAATCTACCACACTTTAACGTGTAGCCTATACTTCAGCTTACAATATGATCTATTTGACATATCCAAACAAAAGTCTTCCTCCCCAAATCAGTTCAAAACACGGTTGGCCTAATTTACCACATGTGCTCCTCATAGAACTGTCAGTAAAGAAAAAAAGTGAAACATTTTACCTTTAGGGGCACAAAAGCTTGTCACTGGGGCAGTACCCACAAAGGGACACCTTTGTACATTTTTAACCCTTAAAGGGTTCATAATAATACCATAAGAGTATATATTGCTACCTTAAGGGTACATATTACCACTAAGTAAGGTTACTAATATAATGTGCCCTTTAGGAGTAAAGAAGGTACAAAGTGAGGGTACTGCCCCAATGACAAGGTGTTGTACCATTTTTGCACTTTTTTTTTTCTGAAAGTGTGCTCATAATGTTACAAAGAGAAGAGCTTTTATAAATCAGTCAAAGACGTTATTCCAAACACGGACACGTGATATACATCATATAGCGACAGATTATAAAGGTAATTTCAGTGCAACCAGTCTTCGCCGTCGACTGTCCTTTCTCGGGTTGAAATATAATTACACAGTAGCAGGGCATGTGCTGCCGCTCATGTTACCTTTGGTTGACTAGACTGCAGCTGGGCGGTCCTTTACTGCACGAGCTACAAAGTCACTAGAGAACAAAGTTTGAAATGAGTCCCTGCAAAACAAACCTGTGCAACGCACACTGAGCGAGCGATCAATAATGGATTCAGCCAAGCGGGATGAACACATGAGCGAGCACGCCGCCAACCTACTGGGGACAGCACAGCGGTCCAAACGGACACAAAGCGCCACCAAAACAAAGTCAAGATACTTGAAAATCCTCTGTGCGGTAAGCGAAGACTCATGGGACACTATAACAGCAGGTTTCTGAAACTAGGTTAAACAAGCAACCCATGAGAGTGCTACTCATTTAACCTTTAATCTTAATTGTTTGTGTAAGGATACATAATAATTCATTTAGTTACTTGTATTAATTTCAAGTAAGTTGACATACAGTATATTTCCATATAGACCAGTGTATAATACAGCATAGTATAGTATATAGCATGCATATACTACACATGGATAATTAAGTTAGATATTGAGGCTTAAGTGGCACTTCATCAAAACAAGAAAAAAATGCATGTTTTTTAAAATGTATGTGTATACTTTCAGAAGATTTATATACGTGATCCTGGACCACAAAACCAGTCATAAGGGTCAATTTTTTTTTAAAATTGAGATTTATACATCATCTAAGCACTGAATAAATAAGCTTTCCATGAATGTATGGTTTGTTAGAATAGGACAATATTTGGCCGAGACACAACTATTTGAAAATCTGGAATCTGAGGGTGCAAAAAAATCTAAATAGTGAGAAAATTGCCTTTACAATTGTCCAAATTAAGTCCTTAGCAATGCGTATTACTAATCAAAAATTAAGTTTTGATATATTTACATAACACATTTTTGGCATAAAAGAAAAATCTATCATTTTGACCCATACAATATATTGTTGGCTATTGCTACAATATACCTGTGCGACTTATGACTGGTTTTGTGGTCCAGGGTCACATATTATGTAAAGTTTTGTGTCTATTTTTTCTGTTTCTTTTTTCTTTGTTTTTGTAAATTCTATTTGACCATTTCTGCTGTTAGAAGTAGGCTGTTTTAGCTGAGATTTCGCTCATACTTGCATCATTAATCATCAGGATTCCCACGGCCAATGAAAACCTGGAAACAAATGTGATGTGCAGGCCATTAAAAGTCAGGGAAACAAGTCTTTAAAGGTCATGGCACACTCTAAAAAAAAATGCTGGGTTAAATACAACCCAGTGCTGGGTAAAATAGGGACAAACCCAGCAATTGCGTTGTTTTGACCCAGTGGTTGGGTTAAATGTTTAAAGGGGCAGAAGGTTGGGTTAAACATTTAACCCAACGCTGGGTCAAAACAGCCCAATTGCTGGGTTTGTCCCCATTTTACCCAGCGCTGGGTTATATTCAACCCAGCATTTTTTAGAGTGCAGTTTGCATTGTAATCATGAACAATTGGAAAAGTTATGGAAATTAATTTATCAAACAATGCTGGAGCCGTGTTTTTTAATAAAACACTACAGCGCAAAAGCTGTGAAAACAAGTAACAACTGGCTGCACTGGAGCTTCAGAGGAAATGCTGGTCATTAGTCCAGAAGCCAGCATACAGTATCTCATTGTGTAATGTAGTGTTACAGTGTCTCTTTGAAATTGAGCTAGTCGAGAACACTAATCCATTGTTTTGATATTTCATAAACAAATGCAAATTTGTGGCTGGTGTGTAATATTTAATCTTGATACCTTTAGGTTAATTGTTTTCTAAACCATGTTAGTGCTCAAATGCCTCCTTCACCCATTTAAAGGAATAGTTCACCCAACAATGACAATTCTGTCATCATTTACTCACCCTCAAGTTCTTGTGAACCTGTGTGAGTTTCTTTCTTCTGCTGAGCACAAAAAGTCAATAGGGACCAGATACTGTTTGGTTACCCACATTGTTCAAAATATCTACATTTGTGATCAACAGCTTGAGTGTGAGTAATGATGACAGATCTTTTATTTTTGGGTGAACTGTCACTTTAAGCAAATAGCTGCAGTCACCAGCAGGCTGGTGGCTCGTTATTGCATTTCTGTATTAATCATTATTTAGAAGAATCATCTAAGAGGAAAACTGTTTTCACAATGCTGAAAAGAAAACACCCGATTTTGATTTAGTATGACATTCTAAATTCAACAAAGCTGCCTATTGTCTAATGTCTTCCCTAGCATCTGATCTCATATTTCAGCAACCCTTTCTTTAAACTGAACAATTCACTTTAAAGCTTAGAGGGAATGAAAAGTGTATGTACCATTCCCGCTGGTGCAATAGTCCGTGTTTTTAAAGATACACCACCATTCAAAAGTTGAGTTATTTATTTATAAAACCTTTATTCGGCCAGGACACATTAAATCGACCAAAAGTGACAGTAAAGACTTAAAATGTTACAGAAGATTTCTATTTCAAATAAATGCTGTGCTGTTTTGATGAAGTTTCTATTCTTCAAATGTCATGGTTTCCACCAAAATAATAAGCAGCACAACTGTTTCTAACATTAATAATAATACATATTTCTTGAGCAGCAACGCAGCATATTAGAATGGTTTCTGAAGGATAATGTGACACTGAAGACTAGAGTAATAATGAAAATTCAGCTTACTGTATTTTTGGTCAAATCAACAGTCTTGGTGAGCATAAGAGATTTCAAACTTTTGAACTGTAGTGCAGGGTTGCCAGGTTTTCACAAGAAAACCTGCCCAATCACTACCCAAAACTAGCCTAAACTTGACTAGATGTCAATCCCGTGGCAAAAACAGAGAAACAAATAGAGACATAATTAGCGTAGCTGCTGTTCCAACCAAGCAAAATTGATTTGTTTAACCCAAACTAAAGAATAATAATGTGCATTTGATCAGATATAACTGCAGTTCAAGATTATGAGATGCATTATTTGAATGCTTAGACCTACAAGGCTAATTTCTGCTTAGAATTTTTCTAAGCAGGATGTATTTAGCAACATTTATGTCAAAGAAACGTTTATTATTACAGTATTTCCTAAAGTCCAAGCAAATTATATTAATGCAAATGATATATGCTTTACTGAATCTTGTAACTACAGTTTTTGCCCTCTTGTTTATTCTCTCTCTCTCTCTCTCTCTCTATAGGTCCTTCTGCTTGGCTTGCTGGCTTTAATTCTCACAGTCATATTTATACTCAAACTCCATTGCAGTGATAAAGGTATCTTAGTTTTTGACTTTTTTTCTGGTCATGGTTTAAAGCTCCCCTTTTATAATCTTTTTCATATAATGGTGCATATATTACATAAACAGTATCTATTATCACCCTTTAATCCACTGTGTCATGATTTTTGGTGTCATGAGCTTGGGAATGAAGCCTGTGTCATTATATCCACATATCATTCTGTTTACATGCTCTTTATTTTGTGTTTTCTAGTTACTAATAGCTGTAGAAACCGCTGCTTGTCCAAAAGTCGCGACTCTAACGCGGTGTGCCACTGTGACACTGCGTGTGTAAATGAAGGCACCTGCTGTCTGGACTATGAAGAAGTGTGTGTGGAACCAAGTAAGTGACATTTCATGCATCCTGTGTGACCAATTCTGTTCAAATTCAATGTGAAGTCTCTGGTTTCATAACTGCATACAGTACATCACTTTAGACGTCAATGTGCTACTGAATGCTGATAAAGCATTAAAAATAAGAAAAAGTCATGACTTTTGTGAAGGTTTTTTTGTCATTTTTGGAGCTTGGCAACCCTATCTACACTTAGTCATTCTGCTAAACTTCCCTTTTTATGTTCCACAAAAGAATGAAACTCACAGCTCATGTCTTTCCAAACCCGTAAGACCTTCGTTCATCTTCGGAACACAAATTAAGATATTTCTGATGAAATCTGAATGAGAGCTTTCTGACCCTGCATAGACAGCAATGCAACTGACACGTTCAAGGCCCAGTAAGTTAGTAAGGACATCATTAAAGTAGCCCATGTGACATCAGTGGTTCAACTGTAATTTAATGAAGCTACGAGAATACTTTTTGTGTGCAAAGAAAACAAAAATAACAAGTTCATTTAACAGTTTCTTCTCTTCTGTGTCAGTTTTCACCACGTTCACGAGAATATCACGACGCATGTGTGTGGTACTATTTTAATAATGTCCTTACTAACTTTCTGGGCCTTGAACGTGTTAGTTGCGTTGTTGTCTATGCAGGGCCAGAAAGCTCTCGGATCATCAAAAATCACTTCATTTTTTCCCCAAAGATCAACAAAGGTCTTACAGGTTTGGAACAACATGAGGGTGAGTAATTAATGACAGAATTTAGATTTTTGGGTGAACTATCCCTTTAATATTAGGTGTGAACTCTCCATGGTAATGTCATGCTGTTTTGTGTTTCGGTAGCCTGGAAACCAGCTGTGTTTGTGAATGTGTCTGAGATAGAAACAGAAAAGGAAAATGAAGTTATATTCATAGTATGTGTACAGACACTGACCATTTATTCAGGGGTGTAACAGTCCAAAAAAGGCCTGCAAACATTGGACACAAGAATGTCTGTTTAAACCATCAACACCCACCTGTTGAAATCCCCTCAGTGAAGTGTTAGAGCTCTGTGGGTTTCTCCGAGTTTGGGTTTAAAGTCCCTCCCTGCAGTTTTTTCCCCTGATGTTTTGAATCAAGCTCCATTTTCCAACACAGTAGCCGAATGTTCCTCCCTGTGGTGCCTGCCCTGTGCGCTGCATGTGTGGGATGGATGGATATTGCTTTGGTGAACTGCATGTAAAGGTTCAGTGGCTTTGGGTCTGCTGAGACAGACTCTTTTCCTGTCTCACTGTCTCCACCTGTCTCATTTTTTCACATGTATAATACTTTAGAACTTAGCTTTTTGTATCATACACACAAAACCCACAGACCTACATTCAGAATGTGTTTTGTTGCTTTATCTAACATCTTTGTCCTAGAATGTCGATATGTGTCAAGATGAGCGCTTCTACTGACTGAAAACACACATGTACATAAGCTTTATCTTGCCAGCAGATGCTAGACCTCAGTGTTTGTGGATAAATGGTGGTTTCTTTGAAAATTCAGTTATCATTTTATTATTCTCATATTTTCCAAACTTATATGACTGTCTTTTGTCTGTGGAATATATTTTTAAATCTTCCTCAGATCAGTCATGTTGACTTGCATTGTATGGACAGAAACAGTTGAAATTTTCATAATTTTTGGAGTTTCAGAAAGCAGGACATTTTTAAGATATGTTATATGTAATGTTTTGTTACAAAAGCATAACAACCAAAAATATTTTATGATAGAACTTTAATAGTAATAATATATCTTTAATAATAGTTAGAACTAAATAATATAATATAATATAATATAATATAATAAATTATTACAACTAAACTGCAGAATCTACATCAAGGTTATTATAGTTAACTAAGAACTAAAATAAACTTTAACTGAATTAAAATAGAATAAAAAATTTAACTCGTTGCCAATACAAAATTTCTCATTTAGCTAAAATAACTAAAACTACAACTGAAAAAATATGAATAAAAAACGATATACATACACTCTAAAAAATGCTGGGTTAAATATAACCCAGGCGCTGGGTTAAAAAGGGACGAATCCAGCAGCTGGGTCAAAACAACCCAACCGTTGGGTCAAAACAACCCAATAGCTGGGTTTGTCCCTTTTTAACCCAGCGCTGGGTTATATTTAACCCAGCATTTTTTAGAGTGTGCACATTAAAAAAAACAACAACACACACACACAATTACTAAAACTTTAACTAAAATTAAAATAAAAACAGAAAATATTAAAATAAAATAAAAATTAAAGTTATAATAGTATCTCAGTTATACTAAAAAGACACTAATTCATGAATGGATGAACATTTTCATAATAACCTAAAGAATTATCATATAATTTAATGGTTGTGCATGAGATATTATTGATCATTCAATGTTTCTGTGACTAACAATAAAGAGCTGACACAGTCTGAGTAAATGGGTAAACTGTCCCTTTAAGAATCAGAAACCCTTCCATTGACTTTCTACACATTTTTTTTGTCATTTGAATTTCAGTTGTCATATTAGTTTTAAATGTTAAAAGTGCATGTAAAATATGCTGTATGTGCTACATTGATTTTGAAAGCACTTTTCTATACAGCTCTGAAGTGCTTTCATGATACCAAAATTTCAGCAGTTTATATCAACAATCTTGATCCTCTCAAATCTTCCCACGTCATCTCTATCCTGCTGTTTATCACGTCACTCGCTGTGTTCCAGGTCAGCGCTGGACGTGTTCTAAATTCCGCTGCGGTGAGGAGCGTTTGCTGAACAGCCTCTGCTCCTGTTCTGAAGACTGTGTGAAATTGGGTGACTGCTGCTCGAACTACAAGAGCATATGTAAAGGTACAAGACATGCTTTGCTCTGCATTCCATTCTCATCGAGTAGCTACACAACATGCTAGTTGTCATTTATGTTGTATAAATGTAAATAAAGACATTTTGGGTTGATACAATCTCATAAGGGTTGTATAAAATCCTCAAGCCGGTTAGGTTTTCGTTTTAGCTTTGAACAGACATGTATCTGTTTCACTGAAAGGCTCATAAGCGTCTGTGAAGTTGTGATGGATCTGAAGGATTTGTCTTTGAAGTTATTTGGGCATGGACTTCATCTCCCCTCTGCAGGATAGAGCGCAGTGAAGTGTCTCTACATGGTGTTTTCATAGCTGGTTGTTTTCGTTTTTTATTTTCACAAATGTTCTTCTGATTATTTCAGGTCACTTTTCGGGTGTGTTTGGACAGAATAATGTCCAAATAGTTATATAGTATCACTATTGTGTTATACTTGTCATCACATGTTTATTCCAAAAAATAGGTTTATTTTTGAAATTCAGTTTCTGTATTGGATTTTAAAGTGCCCCTATTATGGGTAATGAAAGGTACATATTTTGGTTTTGGGAGTCCCCAACAACAGGTTGGCATGCATTGAAGATAAAAAAAAAAAAACACTTTCATTGTCTTATAATATGCATTTATTTTTACTTTATTTGCTCAACAACAACTCCCAACGATTAGCTCAACTCTTCATTTTTCCAAACCCCTCCTTTGCGTGACGCTAATCTGCGGTGATTGGTCAGATTGGTCTCATTTTCCAGTGCTGCTTTGTGTACAGCGTTACCGGGGAAACCGCTATTTTTACCGCTCCAAAAGCGGCACCTAGTGGCAAAGAATTAATTAGCATTTTCATTCAGACCAACACGAAAAGAACAACAAGTGGGCGGGCAATATGCTAATGACGTCAACATGAAACGTCAACATGAAACGGCTTGGGATTCGTTTTAAAAACAACTGGTTTCAATTATTCAGAGTCGACTCTTTCTTTTGAGAGACAATAACTTTATACACGGTGCACTTTCAGATTTAAAACTTTGTATGATGTTTTCATTCACTCAGAGCTATGTTACACACTGCATGAAAGGTAATTTTCAAAAATCCATAATAGGGGCACTTTAAAGTCTTGCACTATTGCAATTTTCATTGTTTTATTCCGTTTTATTGTGCTGCTAAAAAGATACAGTTTATGTAATGCATTTATATTGTCATCATATACAGTATATATAGTAAGCTGTCAAACTGGGAACCTGCCATTAAATAACCATATTTCAAAGACAATAAAATTCATTATGAAATTACATATAAAGATGATAAAGGGATAGTTCATCCAAAAATGAAAATTCTGTCATCTATAGACGTTAATGGCTACGAAAAGCTGTTTGGTTACCAGCATTCTTCAAAACATCTTCTTTTGTATTCATCAGAATAATAATTAAAAAAAATCATACAGGTTTGGAACAACTTGAGGATGAGTAAATGAAGACTGAATTTTCATTTTTGGGTGAACTATGCTTTTAAGTTCTACTCAAGTGGGTCAAAAACAACAAAACACACTATAAATTGCATTTAATTTGCATTTTAAGTGTTTTACGTGAACCAATTATATAGCATTACATGAAATAAACCAACTTAAAAATGCTACTCTAAAAAAAAAAAAGCATTTGTAAAATTGGACTCTTGACTTAAAACCTTCGGTTAATGAAATACAGCTCTTGTGACAACTTTATGTGTGACAACTAGCTCTGATTTCCACATTTTCTAAGCAGGATATTTGTGTGAGAGCAAAAGAAAAAAAAAGATTTGGCTGTAGTTGAAAGCACTGCATGTGCTCTTCGAATCCTCTGAAAACACAGATTGTTCACATATGATGTGAGTTAAACACAACAGGGAGTTAAGATTCCACATGTTGCCTGTGTTAACTCATAATTCCACTAGCTGTCTTACTTCAGTAACTCTTATGTACACAATCATAGCCATGTTTGTTCCTGCCATTGCATTAGCGGCTGACAGCTAATTATTATCACTTCACTTACAAAAAAGCATCCTGGACTGTGTCAGTTGTTTGTATCATTAGAAGACTGTAATGTAGTCCCTGTATTTTTTCCCCAGTACTTTGCCTTTATTCCAGATTGATTACGTTTGAATGCATGTGTGGTGTTATTGTCTTATCAAGGCCAACATTTTCACCCTCTCCTGCGTTTGAAAACTGAACTGTTCCTCATCACCCTTTCATTTCTCTTTCTCACTGCTAACTCAATGGAAACTTTAGAAAATTCATCACTGAAAGAACAAATACACCTGGCCAGAGTTTCAAGTTACTATTAATACTTCCTTTTCTCTTCCGTCTTTTCTTCACAGGTGAAAAACCTTGGCTGGAAGAGGACTGTGAAGACATCAGGACTCCTCAGTGTCCTGCTGGGTAACACTTATGTTTATAAATGAGATGGCTCTGTATCAAGATCTCAATCAGGTTCATATCATTAACTCAAAGCTTAGAAATTAGCATCTCCATATAAAGAGTTCTGGCATGAAACTCTAGATGGCGCAGTCCGATAGGTCTAACTCAATCTGACCTAATGACATCATCACATGGCACAGCTGATTGGTTCTCTCCTGTATCGGTAGCCAATGAGCTCGCTGCTCAACATTCAAATATATGACTAGTGCTTGCCATAGCAGTTGCAGCTTGCTTCAGAAACCCTCCACCTTCCCCAGCTCCACCTGTATAGATCTGCTACATGAGGCTTTATAGGCACATTGCGTGTGTGTGTGTGTGTTGACAGTATATTGTTACCAGCTCTTGGAATAAGTGACCTAGAAATAGTGTTCATTTTATATCATAACTTCTATGTTGTAAATTGTCAGCATCCTAAAACTTTCTGGGTCTTTCCGGGTTAAAAAGAGCTTCTAAATCACATGTGGACTTAGACTTTTAAATGGCACTGTATAGAAATGCATTATACAGTATACAGTATACAAATACAGTATTTAGATGCACAGAGAGATGTTTAGGCGTGTGTGTTTATGTCTGACTCTGGGTAAATGGACTGTGTGGTCAGCGTTGTTTTTTCCATTAGCTATAATAAACGTACTCTGAAGTACAATCAGCTTTAGCTGTAATGGTATTCGCTGGCGTAAACACAAATAGACAACTTAATGAGCCATGTGCTTTAACTTTAAAACCATTTTTGCTACCATTGCATCTCATCAGAAAAAAAGAAAGCTAAACCATTATGGGGAGCCATTCACCTATACTGAAAATAATTTGGAAAATATCAAAGTAATATTCAGGAAAATTGCACCTTCAATACACATTTTTATTTTTTAACTTATTTTATTATAGTTTGAAATTGAATTGTGAGGTAATGTCTTTATAATGACACGATCTTTTTTTTTTTTTTCAATTTTGAAGGAAATGGTTAAGGATGTTTGATGGGTCTTTTAGAAGATGTGTGAATGCTAATGTAACTTTACTGTGTTGTCATTATAGAGTCCGATATCTACATTAAGACAAATTATATTAGAGGGATATTGCGCCTTTTGTAATATTTTGGCACTTAAAGTCCGTTAAACAGTTAAAAGCTGTATGATCAAAATGCAAAATACAAATATATTTTATAACATCAAAAGTTTGCTTATTTGGAGTTTTTGCAGTTATTCAAGTCTCTGAAGTAATGCATGTTCTTCCCTGTTATTCTGGTTGTTGAATTTGGCGTTTTGGGTGTGACAGGTTGTTTTGGGCTTTGCCTGTAGACATACATCAACATCTACTGTTCTCTGGGTGAAACCCTGCTCAAGTTTCCTATTGCTATTTTTACCCATGGGTAGTTCAACTGAAAAAGGAAGCTACTTTATTCCATGGCATGACAGGCATTTCTAAAAACATCATCTTTTTCCTGTAGGTTTTCTGAACCGCCGCTGCTTCTGGTGTCTCTGGATGGATTCAAGGCAGGATACATGGAGGCCTACAGCAGCCTGCTTCCTGTCATCAACAAACTCAGTATGTCAGAGTCTGACCCTGACTATAGAATTATGTCTGCCATATCTGTTAGGGGCATCTAATTAACATTTTTAATTGACTTGTGTTTAAAATGTCTTAACATTTGTCAGTCTGATAAATGAATGAGTCAAATTCATCTTATAAGAGAATTGGTGTATTAAAACCAACTGATGCATCTCTTCATAAAGAGAAGTAGGATGAATTATAATACTCACTGGTCTAAACCAGTGGTTCTCAACTCTTTTTCACTCCAAGGCCCCCCATTGTCCACAACAATATTCCAATATTTCCCCCATGTAGACTAATAGGTTTCTTCTGGTACATCTGCTGTAATAATACAGTTTTTTTTTTTTTTATGACCAAAACTAGTTGCATCCATATATTAAAACAAGTCATAATAATTCATAAGTTTCATTCATTTAAGATTTATTCATTAAGATTAAAATAATTATGTTTTAGAATTCCAGAAATTTTAAGAGCCGAATGTCCTTCAGGAATCTTACTCTTTTACCTAACAAATTTCTATGAATTTTCTAGTCGTTCATGATTTACTGGATAAGTACTTTTTTGTTTACTCACAAATTTTACCTGATAAAATGTTGTTGAGTTTGACATAACTAGAAAATGTAACTATTAAAACTATTAAATTATACATAACTATTAAAATCCCAATTGCATTTAAGATCTTATTCATTTGCATGACTTTTCCAGGTCTAGAAGTCATATTTTTAAAATTAGGCTACTTCATATATCCAGATTTTTTCTGTTTTTTGGTTGTTTTGTCTTATTTAAAAAAAGTCATCCTGAATCCCCCTTGGAAGGTTTGTGAGGTGGGCCCCCTGGTTGTGAACTACTGGTATAAATTAAAGGGGTCATATGACGTTGCTAAAAAGAACATTATGTTGTGTATTTGGTGTAATGCAATGTGTTTATGCGGTTTAAGGTTCAAAAAACACATTATTTTCCACATAATGTACATTATTGTTGCTCCTCAAAACTTAAGATTCTGTGGTTAATCTCATCTTGTTTCTTCAGGGAAATGTGGGACCTCCACACCGTATATGCGACCTGCTTATCCCACCAAGACCTTCCCAAATCATTACACCATAGTGACAGTAAGTGACAGGTAGAAATTAAGCCACAATTGCTCTTAGAGAACTACATGTACATGTCAAAATGTAATGGCCATTATCATTTTTGCTTTCTTTAGTAGACAGTTTTTATGTGTTTGATTTGAATCACTTACTGTTTACATCAGTGAAGATAAGACTATTAGTTTTATTAAGTGTTCATTTTGGACTGGTTTTAGAGTAACCTTCCAGTTTATTATTTGAACCTCAGTAGTTGTTAGTTGTGACACCACTTTTTTTGCAGTTCCTATAAAAAAAGGCTGACTAAGTAAATTACTGTTAGTTCCAATGTTAATTTGCTTTGCTCCTGTTTTCTAATGAGTGAAATAATGCTTTTTTTTTTTTTTTTAATGTTTTTCTTTTGCAGGGTCTGTATCCAGAATCACATGGAATTGTGGACAATAAGATGTATGATGTCACTCGCAATGCCTCTTTCAGTTTGAAAATTGATGAGAAATTCAACCCTGCATGGTACCAGGGTGAACCAGTGAGTATTTAAAACATCTGCAATAATCTAGATTTGTGATGATCTGTTTAATAAAGATTAGAGAATTTTCTTGTGAAATCTTTAAACTCAATTTACATCCCCTCAGTTTGAATTTATTTATTTGTTTAGAAAGGTCTGGATAAGTAACTTAACTGATAACTAATTGTTAGGATTTAGTGGGTAAATGTTAAGATAATTAACCATGGTTCATTATCATATTCTAATGGAAATAGAGTCATTACCATTAACAGTTACCTACTGTACATGACATTAAAATAATTAATTCACAACAAGATAAAAGCACTGCTTGTCGGGCTTCCAAACACTCTTTTTATTCTACTGTTAGTATTGGGATCCTGTGTAACTCTTCCTGTTTTTGCTTCTTGTGGGTTATGTTTCTGGAGTATAATGTCAGGAGCGTGTAATTTCTGTTTATAATCCTGGTGTGGGATCCTACGCTCCTAAAACAAAACCCACTAGGCCTCAGTTTATGTCTGTTCGCCATGTGCTCCTCTCACCCTGCTTTCTTGTTTGCAATTTCACCTTAGCTATTGATGTATTTTAAGAGATCATCAACCCAGAACAAATTTTGAGTCTTTAGCGCATTATTTAAACAGGAGTTGGTCCCCAGCATGGGATTCTGGTTTCTCCAGTAGGCTTTTTAGCTAGAACAATCAAGGTTTTCTTAATGAATAAGCTTCATCAGAAAGACAAATGCTGGTTGACCATAATGTTTAGCAGTCAGACCAGCATTAGCCAACCTAAACAAACCTGGAAATCCATGAATGCGTCCAGAAATCTTAGCAAATCCAATGCAAAATATGTTTTTCAGAAACGTCACAGTTGGACTGTGACCATCATAGTTCAATAACACACCCTTTCAGATTCCTAGTTGATGAGTCTCACATAGGCACTGTTTGAAGAGTCCTGATGTTCTTTTGGATCACAATCTTCTGGCCAAGGGTCAGAAATATCTGGTACCTGATGGAGCAGCTCCTGCTGTTGGTGAAGTTTCATCATATACTCATCTGAACTGCCAGAATTCAGAGTGATGGAGTGGAACGTTCTTCAAGTTCATGTGGTAGAATTCGTCCAGATTTCTTGCTGTATCAGGGTGGAACGAAAGGAAAGTCACACCCATTTTCTGGCAGCACCCTTATCATGTTTCTCTTTAGAGTTTGCCAAGATAGCTGTTTGGGGTTAATGCAGATGTTTAACTCAAATGATGCAACCAAATTAAGAGCATACGTGGATTAAAATTTACAAGTGATTACTAAACCCTTAGTGTGAACTTTACATCCTAATTTAAGAAGGACCTTTCAAATGACTTGTGCAAAACGCAACATATGGTGGTGACCTTACCATCTTGGAATCTTCTGCGCATGTACGCAGATGTTGTCCCCACCCCAATATGAGATGCTGGTTTCTCCAGCAGGCTTATTAGCTTGAACCAGCAAGGTTTCCTTGATCAACCAGCTTCATCAGAAAGACCATGCTGATTGACCATCATTTCTACCAGTCAGACCAGCCAACCTAGATCAACCTGGGAATTCATGAATGCTTCCAGGAATCTATGGAAAGCCAATGCATTTGGGCTTAAATAATTCTTCAATAACGCATTACTTCAAATTCCTGTTTTATGACCCATCATTGAGCCTAAAGCTTTGTTTAAAGAGGCATGATGTTCTTTTTGATCACACTCTTTTGGACAAGGGTCAAAACCCTCTTGAACCTGATGGAGCCATTGCATTATCTTACATTTGGTCTTTTATTGTCATGATAAAGTGTGATGGAGTGGAACTTCTTCTACCATAAGTTTTTTTTTGTGGTATAATTCTTCCAATTTGCTTTCTATATGAGGGAGGGACAAGAGGAAAGTCCAGTACCAACCTTATCATCTTTCTTTTCAGCGTTCACCAAGATATCTGTTTGGCGGTAAGGAAGGGTGGTGAAGAGATGTTTTACACAAATGGCGCAACTAAATTAAGAGCATACTAGGATTAAAACTAACAAGTAATTACTAAGCCCCTAGTGTGAACTTCACATCCTAATTTAAGAAGGACCTTGTGCAACCTGCATTGGCATGCATGCATTGGGATTAACATCCAAAATGCAACATATGTTGGTGACCTTAACATCTATTGCAAAGTTGGAGTCTTTAGCACATTGTTTATGTAAACAGATGTTGGTCTCCAACATGAGATGCTGGTTTCTCCAGCAGGCTTCTTAACTAGCTTGAACTAGCAAGGTTTCCATGACCAGCCAACCTTTCAAACTGGGAATTCATAAATGCTTCCAGGAATCTTTGGAAAGCCAATGCAATTGGGCTTAGATTGTTACTGTCATAATTCTCTAATAACAGACTACATTTACATTTATTCATTTAGCAGATGCTTTTATCCAAAGCGACTTACAATTGGACAGATCCCTTCAAATTCCTGTTTAATGACCCATCCTTGAGCCTCAGGAAAGCACTGCTTGAAGAGGACTGATGTTGATGATCCTGTGGAACCTGATGGAATTGCATAGACTTGCATTTGGTTTTGTTGTCATTATGAGTGGAACTTTCTTCCCAACTGTTTTTTGTATCAGGACAGTACAAGAAGAAAGTCTGGTACCACCCGTGTCATTCTCTTCAGTGTTCAGCAAGACAGCTGTTTTGGGGAAAACACAGATGTTAAACACAGATGTTTAACACTCGGCAACCTATTCACATTTGCAATCAAATGGGCAGCAAATGGTAAAAAAATGCCAGAGCACAAGGTGTTTCTGTGGTGGGCAGCTGAAATCGTGAAAATCCAAGATATATAGCAAAGTTTTTGTTTTCCTGATTAACTTGCCTATATCCTAGTTGGTGACGGACAGGGTTTCTGAAGTTCCTCAAACTCCTCACTGGGAACACAGGTTCCTTCTGCGCCATGCGCTTTTGCTTTGCCCCGTCCATGGTGCTGAAATGATGCAGCGTAAAACCTTCTAGTAGGAGATACTGGGATTTGCTTTTGAAAAGAGGCAGCAGTTGGCATTTGAGACTCAAACTAATGGTGATTTAAATGTGTGAGGCATTCACATTCAGTGGTAGCTGTGTTACATTGAAGACTAGGTTAGTATCCATCCTATTGGCTTTTACAGTAATTACAGAGACAGGCTTTGTGGTTTCTGACTTTAGGCGTGCATGCTTGAATTTTTAGAGCTTCTTCATGACCATATGTACTAGCGACCATTTTAGTTTCTAATTTTGTCCTTACAAATGAACTGTGATTGAATGAAACAGGATTGCCAGTTCCTCAACCCAGGGTGATTATAGTTAACAAAAACTCAAAACATAATAATATCTTCATTACTTGAAATAAAATACATAATAATAAAATATATATATCACTGTCTTTGTACTGAGGCTCTCTCTCTCATCTCGCTTTTTTGCAGATGTTTGCTTTTGTAATTGTTAGTGGTGTTTTATCTTTTGTGCGCTGCATCTTTTGTCAGCACTTTCATTCAGTTGTTCCTGTGATTGTCTTTAGGTTTGGCTCACAGCCATGAAAAACAAACTAAAAACAGCTACTTTCTTCTGGCCTGGATCCGATGTGAAAGTCAATGGACATTTCCCAGATTACTGGGTGAAGTATGACAGGTGGATATTTACAATACCTGGTTTTTTTAAAACTTTAATTAACTGGACTTTAGTGTTGATTTAAGGGTTGTGGGGACTGACTATAATTCACATCTAAAACTAGCTATTAAGAGCAACACTTCATATTACACTAAACACAAAAGTTTGCCTCAAAGTTTGAAGCAGTTTACATAGGTAATGGCTCTGAATATGGGCTTTTACTGAATTCAATAGAAGATATAAGTGATTTTAGAAACAGACATAAAAAATTGAGTCCAATTTTGAGCCAACAAACTAGTTAAAATGGATTATATAATTTGTCTTTCTTTAGGAACATCCCCTTTGAAAAGAGAGTGGCAAAAATCTTTGAATGGTTGTATTTACCTGAAGGAGAAAGGTAATGCTTTTTTAAAATGTATATTTATTTATTTATTTTGGTTTGATTCTGCCTACACTGTAAAAACGGTAACTTGCAATTGTTAAGGTAAAGAGCTATTTCTACCTTATTTAGCTCATAAAAATGTGTAAATTAATGTATTCAGGTTGATTAATTGACGTTAAATACTATTTTTGACTTGAATACAGTTCGTTAATTTAGATGTTATTTTTTAATTTACAGTATATTCACTCTGTTTTAGGCCAGACTTTTACACCTTATACTTCGAAGAGCCTGATTCTGCAGGTCATCGACATGGACCAATGAGTAGCCAGGTAAACTGAAGACAAACCACATGTGGAAATAATTGACAAACTTCAATGTCAGTTTAGTTTGGGGGCAAATATCTGATTTAGGATATGAAACATTAAATGAACACAATCATTGTTATTTTTTTGTTGAAGTTTTTTTGTTGTTGTTCATAATCAGTATGAATTCCCCTGCTTTGGATTCTACTGATGAAATGTTTGCGTTTCAAATCATGACGGATTTTTGCATTGCAGGTCATTGAGGCTTTACTGAATGTCGACAGGCTTCTTGGGATGTTGATGGATGGTCTCAAGGAAAGACAGTTGCACAGATGTGTCAACCTGGTTCTGGTCTCTGACCATGGTGAGTACTGTGTGTCTTTCCTATACACTTTAATTTGAACACAAATCTGAATTTAAATGTGTATTGCAACAGCTACACTACAGTATAGTTGTATTTCAGGTTAAGTCAAATTTATTTGTATAGCACTTTTCACAATACACAGTGGGTCTCATTCACTAATAATTGTGTGGATTATTTTGTATTTGTATGCACAGGAGAATTCTCACGAAAAACCTGCTCCTAATTCACAACACGTTCGTATGTACATGAATTTGCTCTTAATCGTTCTGATGGTAGTGAATTTGGAGTATTCTAAATGAGTGGTTGCATGCAGGAGGTTAGTCATTTGCATAAAACATGCTCAAAACATCTCCATATAAGGGCTTTCGGCACACGCTTTCCTTACAGCCTTTCATCACTCTCGTCAAACGTGCCGCTGTTTGCAGACGCGCTTTCGCATACAGAAGCTTGTTTCCGACACAGAACAAAACATCTGAAAAAAATAATTGCGAGTTTTCGCAATTCTGACTTGTAAGATGTAAACTCGCAATTGTGAGGTAAAAAGTCCTCTTAACTTTTTATTAGAAGTTCGTAAATTTAGAATACATTTTTATTACGTCATTTTTGGTGAATCGTGATTTGCTCTTAAAATTTGTACACACGTTCGTACACACATTTCACGCACAATTTTTTTGCGTACGCATGCTTAGTGAATGAGACCCATTGTTTTTAAAGCAGCTTTACAGAAATTAATGAATGTTTGTGTATAATATCTTCATGCTTTATATAACATAGTTTACATTTTGCAACGATACAAGCAATTCAAACAGTTGATATTTGCTGTATAGTTCATATTGCCCTACAGTATGTCAGTCAGTATACTGTATGTATGCGGATAAAATTATACAGTATACCCAATTTAAAGAGATGACTGCTAATATAGTCACATTTTGAAACAAAATATAACATCAGGCAGTTGAGATTTGCTTTATGAAATGTATTGCATTGCATACCTGATAGTGAACTGTATAACGTTGGATATAATATATATTCAACTTTACATTTAATCTAAAAATATAAATGGGGCACATTTAGAAAATCACAAAATATTCAATGAATAAAGTGATTACTGACATTTCATATTTTTCTTGGAATTTCAAGTATTTTATTATTATTATTATTATTATTATTATTATTATTATTTTTAAATCTGATATGAACTTTTACCAAATGTCACAGTCAGTCAGACATTAGTAAATATTTATTGGGCTTATGTATTCCCAGTTTTTATGAAAACAATTGCAGTCTGCAGTCCAATAACAGAAGTATTAAATCTGGCGATGTTTGTGCCACTGTAATATTAGAAGATTTGGATTAGACAGTGTTCCATAAAGCATTTACCTATTATCAATTTAAAGAGAAAAGTACTTCCGTGACTTGAAATAACATAAACACTTTAAACTAATTTTATTGCAGTCAGTTGCCTTATTTTATTTCATTTAGTTTAAATTGCTGTAGTAAAATAACTAAAACAAACTGAAAAAACAACAACAGACATTTTAATTAAAAATTAATAAAAATTACATACAACACAAATACTAAAACTTAAAGGTCCCCTAAAGTGCCTTGAAACACGCAGCGTTATTCTATGTGGTGACGTAATTTAAACTGAAACAGGAAGAGAGGGCGGGACATATCGAGAAGCCCCGCCCCCTTTTTAAATTAGCCAATGGCGTTTAGTTTATATCTGCTCGGGCCAGAGCCGTTGAGCTCGGTAAAGCCATATTTGACAGCCACAGTCTAATAGATTTACCCCTTAGATTCAATATGAAACTCTTAGTAAAACTAAATAGTGGTCATAATCATGCTGAGGCTGTATAGTTTTAAACGTTTTTAATATATGCCGACTCGCGCATATGATCCGCTCCGTGCGATCGCGTCTCTGAACCGGAGCCAAAGTCTGGATCAGACTGTGCGCGCTGCCGCGGTTCGCGTGACACAATGTGAAACCAGACCTCATTTGCACCAATAGAAAGCATATTTACACTGTCTGAATCGTTCCCTATCGCCTACATTGGTAAAATAAAAACAGAAAATATAAAAATAATAACTAATTAAAAACGATAATAGTATCTCAATGATACGAAAATAACACCGGTTCCCACCTATCTGGGTGGGCACAGAAGTTCTTGAGCAGTGACATCTGCATGACGTGTGTCTTCATTTTTAATTGGGGCAAATTAAAGGCGTGTGGGATTGCACATGTGTCTCCTGAGCTTGGAGTACGCCATGAGGCCTGCTAGCATGCTAATTTTGACTCTTGGGTTTTTAATTGTCTGTACCGCTCTGCCTTTGTGGTTGGAGTGATTGTGAATACATATTGAGCTTGTATGTTTTTAACTTCTGTTGCATCACTGATGTTTAATTAGTACTCGCTCAAGAATATAATGAAAGACTTGGAGGTTTGGCTGTAAGCCTTGCTGTCAGTGAATTATATGCTTTTTTGACACTTCAGTGAGAGGAAAAAAAGTTGAGTGTTATAATCCACTGTGAATTAATACAGTGAGAACATCACTTGGACTTAATGTTTTTGATTCATTACCCAAAGACGTACAGTACTCACTTCTTTTACTTAGAAAGAAAGAATTCATTCTGGTTTGGGTGAGTAAATCATGAGAGAATTGTTTGGGTGAACTATTCCTTTAAGCACAACTGAATGAGCAATCTGTGAAATATAGTTCATTTTGAATCTTTGTTCACTTTGCAGGGATGGAAGAAGCATCATGCAAGAAAGCTGCGTATGTCTCGGACTATCTGGAAAACATCGATGACATCACTGTCATCCAGGGTCCTGCAGCGAGAATCCGTCCCAAACGTTTGCCTGATGAATTCTTCTCCTGTAAGCGAACAGATTTGACCCACCACACATGTCTTTGTATTTGAGGGTTTCTCCAACTATAGACACTGTTGTGTCACAGCAGTTGATTTTTATTTATTAAAACTAGCAGGTTTATGGTATAAAGGTTGCATTAGCTATAAAATGGCTTATGGTTCATTTTTGCTGGTTTTCATATATCAATTATATCATATATCATATAATATATATCATATAACGATATATTTGCTGGTTTTCAATATCTCTTGAAACATGTCAATATCTACGGAGCCCCGCACATGGCATGCAGGAAAAAAATAGTATGCTAAATCGTGTGCACGAATTTGCTAATTCTTTCCCTCGATTTATAAATTGTGCACAAGATTTACTAATTTGTTCCCTCAATTTGCTAATTCGTTCCCTCGATTTATAAATTGTGCACACGATTTACTAATTCGTTCCCTTAATTTGCTAATTTGTTCCCTCGATTTATAAATTGTGCACACGATTTACTAATTTGTTCCCTCAATTTGCTAATTCGTTCCATCGATTTATAAATTGTGCACACGATTTACTAATTCGTTCCCTCAATTTGCTAATTCGTTCCCTCGATTTATAAATTGTGCACACGATTTACTAATTTGTTCCCTCGATTTGCTAATTCGTTCCCTCGATTTATAAATTATGCACACGATTTACTAATTCGTTGAGAAGAAATCTGATTTTTTAATGTAAAAAAATTATATATCATATAATTTTGTTCATATATATATATATATAAAAATTATAATAATATTTTACAACTGGTCTAAAGTGACTATAGTTGAAGAAACACCCATTTATAAAAAGTGTTTTGTTCATTAAATGTAAGTCAAACAATGCATCTCTTCTCTTTCCCTGTATTCGTCTGGCAGTTGATTATGAAGGTCTGGTGAAGAATCTTTCGGTACGACCCTGTCACAACATCCCCATACCTCAATTACAGACCATATCTTCCACTTAATCATGTTGAAATCTTTATTCTGTCCTTTTTTCTTTCTGCGTTTGAAGTGCAGAGAACCTGATCAGCCGATGAGGCCTTATCTGAAGGAGCACCTGCCCAAACGGCTTCACTTTGCCAGTAACATCCGTATAGAGAGAGCACATCTCTACATGCAGCCCGGCTGGCAAGCAGCACTGTGAGTTTGAGCTTTGGGACGCCACATCTGATGCTTGTCGTGTCAAAATGAGTGCTCAAAAAGATAAAATTGGTCTAAATTTAGGATTTATGTATTTGAATTGCATATAAAATGTCCATCCATTTGGATTATGCAGTTTTAAGATAAACTAATAAACTTAATGTAATTCATATTTGTCAGTCATACATATAAATGAAACAAACTGAATGTGTTTTAAATACACAATAACCAAGTTTATATATTTATTATCAATTTCTTTCAATCTCATACATTTTAACTAACTAAATATTTCTTGTTTTATAGCTAGCCAAATTTTAACCATGTTCATGTTTGTCTTTGGTAAAAAATTTGATGTATTCTGATTCTAAATTTAGATGTATTCTGATTCTAATTAGAATAAATGCATTTTGAGAAAAAAAAAAAGGTAACACTTTATTTTAAGGTGTCCTTGTTACACACGTTACATTTAATTACTATTATAATAACAATAAATTATGCATAATTACATGGTCGTAACCCTAAACCAAACCCTAATATTAACCCTAACCATATAGTAAGCAGGCTACATGTAGTTAATTAATATTACTCAGTACTTAAATGTATAATTACACTGTAACAAGTATACCTTAAAATAAAGGGTTACACTTTATTTTAAGGTGTCCTTGTTACAATGTAAATATACATTTAAGTACTGAGTAATATTAATTAACCACATGTACTTACTGTATGGTTAGGGTTAGGATTAGGGTTTGGCTTTGGGTTACTTGCATGTAATTATGCATAATTTATTGTTATTACAATAGTAAGTACATGTAACATGTGTAACAAGGACATCTTAAAATAAAGTGTTACCAAATAAAGTGTAACCGATGATAATATATTAGAATAAAAATTAAAAAAATCATTTATGTGTAGGATATGCATCACATTAAATTTAGTTTATGTTAAAACCGTGTAATACAAATAGATAAATTAAATAGAAAATATTTTATATGCAGTTCAAATGCATAAATTGTAAATCCAATAAATAATCGTAAAACATTTTTTAAGTGTATAATGAAAGAATGTAATATCCCTTCAAGTATTAATGTGTTTATAAATCCAGATGAGTTTAAAGGCAGAGTAAGTGATTTCTGGTAGCCAATGTTGATATTTGAAATCACCAAAACAAACACGCCCCTACCCCAAAAGGGTCTTGCCCCTATTCTGATAGCTCCGCCCCACATATATGTATGCAACCCAGGCATCGATTAGTTCTGTGAAACAAAGCAAAACCAATGTTACACCATAGTTTTTGAAAAATCACTTACTCTGCCTTTAACCTCTTGAAGTTTTTGATCATTCGGCAAACCTTTCTGTTCTTAAATGGTAACTAGAATTCGATTGAAGCATTTGAAGATTTTTTTTAATCAGCACTCAAGCTGGCATTTTCACAGTATTTTTCTCCCACCTTGATCTACAGCAAACCAAATGAAATTAAATACTGCAGGGGCGGCTTCCATGGTTCAGATAATGTCTTCAAGAACATGAAGGTTGGTGTTTAAAAGACTTTTATATTCAAAGGCACATGTCTTGCGTAATAGAAGTAAATGAATAAAAAAAATTGCACACTCATCTTGATAGTGATGCTATAGCAGATGATTTCTTACCAAAGTCTGATGTTACCAATAGATTGGCTTCACCCAAATGTGCAGTTCAAATGCCTTACTAAATCAATGATTTAAAATACACTTTCTGGTAAGACTTTTGATTTGACATTATTACAAAGTGCACTTTTAAGAAACATCATCTTGAAAGTGTACTCAAAGTATACTTATTATTACTTGTATGGTGTTTTCTTCTCTTTCAGCTTTGCTTGCACACCATCAACATAACCCTCAACCACAAAATTAAGCATTATCCCTTAAATCCAGAGAAAATATTTCTTAAATCTGTCATAGACACCAGTAAACATTTCTATCTTCCGTTTCTGCTTGAGGCTCTGTTCAAAGGCTTCTGTGCTGCAGTGTAATGAGGTTTTGTAGACCAAGCATTTTGATGGAGATTATACTAAATTCTTATTAAAGGATCCGAGTAAATTCCCATGAAGGGATTATGATCCCTAGGGTCTTTCCACAAAAACGGAGAAAAATCCAGACATGCCCTTTTAAATGAACTCTCGTCCATTGAATATAGCTTCTCCGTGCCAGATTCACACTTAGTAGTTCCTTCAAACTGGAAGGTGTTCAGATTGCAGTTTTAAACACGCTCAACCCACACGTTGGACCTTTGACAGAGTCTTGTTTACGTCTGTGACGTGTGTGAGTTTCCAGCCATCTGCGCCCCCTGGTCTGTGTGGTTGTCTAGGAATATCTAATGCATCTGGTAGGCTTTACAAAAACCTCTTACAGGAACTCTTATGAGGCAACTAGTTGAGGTAAATTGCACAAGCTAGGGATGGTTATTATGGCAAGAGCTTTACTTTAGGCCATCTTCACATAAAGTGAAATCTCCTGTTAGGAGGAATGAAGATAATTTCCATCTTTGTGACTCCGTGTCAAGGAAATGAGATCAGTCTAGTTTCTAGTACTCAAATGTTTCAGCCAGAGGCGAGTGGAGTGTGTTTCTCTCTGTGACTGCAAATCAAAATAAGTGCTTTTAGTTATTTTTAACTGTGGTCTGTGTTTTTGGAGCTGCCGTGGGTGTTTTGTTGTCATATCCAGGGGCCCCAAATAGTACTTGGACACTAAAGCCGCACTTGAAGATGTCTAATTTTCATCACATTAGATAACAAAATGTTAAGTGGCATTTGCAAACAAATAATTTTCTCAGAACCATCTTCTCTATTTTTAATGACATATTTGGCAAAATATTCGACAAACACAGCTTTCAACAATTGAAACACAACTTTTTCAAACTTGACGACAACCAAATGGTGTGATTTAATGAATGAAATGTAACTGTTTGCAGGCCATTTTTATTGGATATGGACCAGGTATCCATTCTAAGACGAATGTGCTTCCCTTCGAGAACATTGAAGTCTACAACCTATTATGTGGTAAGTTTATTTTTCTGTGAAGTATCATGCAAGTTTGAAAGAGTTCCTTTAATCATATTTCATTGACATCCCTTATCTGCTATTGAAGTTTTTTGGTACTGTGCATATTCTTGTGTGCTAAATGCCCTTAAGCACTTAAGCATACTTTTAAAAAGCAATATTAATTGCATGTTAATTGCAAATAAAAATAGAATATAGCTTAAATTGATATTAAATGCAATTAGCTGCTTTTTTAAACCACTTAAGTAATCTTTACATATTCATATTTGTTTTTATTATCTTTGGTGAAAGTGTACAGCTTAATGTACTGACACGTATTTATAGTAAACTAAAATATAATTTCTATTGAAACGTGTATGTCATGCATGTGAATACATTTGTAAAAAAACACATTTGTAAAGATGAAGTTGCAAATAGTGCATTTAAAATAGAATAATATACAGTATTATAACAATTAACTTTAAATGTAATATCAAATAAGACATTGCCGTTAAAACGACTGTATAATCAAGAATCATAGTCATGAAAGTGTACTCTCATTAAGTATACTCAGTACACAAGTACAGTTGTTTAAAATGTACTTTTAAGATTTGAAGTACACTACAAGTGCACATTCAATACGAAGCGTGTTTCTTTTAATAAGGTTGAGTAACTGCTGTTGAGATAAATGGGAATTTCACCTTTGTCCTAAATGTGCTGCTGATTGCAGCCATGTACTGTGTTTGATTCCTTCTCTTCATCGTTGATTTGGAACAAAGTGTATAATGTGTTATTTAAATTATGATGATTATGTTCACACATTCTTTATCACTCATAAAAAGTTTCTAAATCTAGCAACATACAGTATACTAACGCCAAATGGTCAGCCCTCGCATAGGATTGTGAGGTCTTGAGCTCATATTGGTTTAAATCCAAGAGAAGTCTTGTGGGAAATTGTGCAGAACAATGAGAGTCTTTTTTTTTTTTCAGTCACCATCTCCGTCATTCACAATCACTGCCAAAGACTTAATGACCCACTTCGAAGCAAAGTGGCCATCATTGGCAGCTTGTTGTCTGACACCACTGTTGGGAAGTTACATAGTTAGTGACGCCACTAACTTATCTACATTTTTCCAGTGGGTGGCAAAAAAAAAAACTGAGGTCATAATCAAACACATCCGTATAATAATCCATTGTTGTTATAGAAGCAAGTCATTTTAATTTCAGTGAGTCACTTTGTTAAATGAACCCATTCAGAATTGATTCACCCAAGATTTTACATCATTGTTTTGGTAGCACTCCAACTACAGCATGATTGCAAGTGTGAACTTGCTTTTGTATGACAGTTCAATAAACAAGACATTTTGGTTACTTTAGTTACTGTCTGTTTCCTGTGGAGCCCCTAAGGGAACACGGTGATGGAAATATCTCTTTAAAACCTCTATAATTTCATAAACAAAGCCAAAGCATAATTAACTTGCTTGTGTCCAAGCAACTTGCAGTATTAATCTTTCAATGCTGAATGAATGGCCGATTTTGAATGAATTGGTTAAGTGAATGATTCAGTGACTCACTAGTCGTCACCAACTGGCATAATAATATAACTTGCAGAAAGGAAACTGGAACTGTTTTATAATGTAATATGTATTTCAATAACTTTACAATTAATAGAATGTTTAGGTTAATGCTGCTGTCCAACCATGTTTAAAATGTTGGGTTAAAAATAGTGTTTAGTGGAAACTGATCTGTTGAAAAGCTATTAATGTAACTGAACTAGCAACAGATATTTTCTTTTGTATTGTGACAAGAAAAAAAAAAGTAGGACGGGGACAGTTCAAATGATTGAGTTATGACATTCTGATTAAAAATTGCAAGGTCAAGTTAAAAAAAAAATGTAGCTAACTAATTTTTAAAGTGTAGATTGACTAGATGAACTTGATGAACTTTAAATTATGACCAGCTTGTAACTTAACAGGCTGCAGTTTTAAAGCTTCCCAACATTGTTACATAATGTCTGGTTTTCTCACCCACTCTTCTTTTCTTTTCACTCTAGTTATATGTAAGCATCCCGACTGGGTATTTAGAACTACAAATAGTACCTGTCACCGGGATGTTTAACAGGATTTCCTACTCTTTTAGGCCGATGTCATCAAAATCTCACTATAGCCAGGCAACCCTGATGTTAGTGTGATGCTCCACCCAAAAATGAAAAGTCTGTCATTTTCTCACCCTCATGCCATTTATTCCTGACTTTCTTTCTTCTGTTAAAAAAAAAAAAAAACTTTTGAAGAATGTTGATAACCAAACAGTTTTGGTTCCCATTGACTTCAGTTGTATAATTTTTGTCCATACAGTGAAAGTCAATGGAAACCGTAACTGTTTGATTAGTAAATGCTTACAGAGTTGTCAATTTTGGGTGGACTATCCCTTTAAAGCCTATCTTAACATAAAGACTGCTCTTACCGGTATTTGACAATAGCATGATTTTTGCATTGTATTGTAAGTAGTTTTGGTGAAAAGCATCTTCTAAGAACAGTGTATTCTTCTGTGTATGTCTCTTTAGATTTGCTGGGTATTCCTCCTGCCCCCAATAACGGCACCCATGGCAGTTTAAACCATCTGCTGAAGAACCCACCCCACCAGCCGGTGTACCCCGCAGAGCACTCGGCACCATCGACATGCACCCCTGTTAGCGGATTCTTGCAGGACCCTCGCGGCTGCACCTGTGACTCCCTCACTGAGGCTGAGGTCAGCACTTTTAAAAGTCAAGTCACCTTTATTTATATAGCGCTTTTAACAATACAGATTGCGTCAAAGCAGCTTTACAGTATTAAATAGGAAAATAGTGTGTCAATAATGCAAAAGCACAACAGTAAACACTCATTTTTCAGTTAAAGGCAGTTCATAGTTGAATTCAGTGATGTCATCATCCAGTTCAGTTCAGTTGAAATAGTATCTGTGCAATCAAGTCGACGATATCGCTGGAAAATAAGTGTCCCCAACTAAGCAAGCCAGAGGCGACAGCGGTTTTTCTTTTTTAATAAATCTGCAAAAATGTCAACAATTCTGTGTTTTTCTGTCAATATGGGGTGCTGTGTGTACATTAATGAGGAAAAAAAAATAACTTAAATGATTTTAGCAAATGGCTGCAATATAACAAAGAGTGAAAAATTTAAGGGGGTCTGAAAACTTTCCGTACCCACTGTATATATACTGTATGTATATATTCTTTCATAGATATTTTTGAGCATCTAACCCCTAATCCTAACCACTTCTCAAGAATATAAAACATGTAACAGGCAGATACATGTGCAGTCACAGGTGTTTATTGCAAAAAATGGCCATAAAACAGTATAAAAGTATTACGAATTGTTGTATTCCAAGTCTTCTGAAGCCATGCTACATCTTTTATGAAGTGAGGAGAACAGAGCAAAACTTAATACAGTCACATCTGATTCAAAAGATAAATCCAAACTTTATCATGATGTAATTGGTCATGAGACACGCAAGAGCCAATCAGATTTCATAATCAAGGCTGATGTAGCACTTCTTCAGATGGCAGTTTTTGAATGTGTTTGTGATTTGAGCGTTATGTTGGATGGAGACGGGATTGCTTTTGGGTGTGTTTCTTGTAAAAATCAATTGTTTGGCCTAGAAAACTTGGAATATTTGTATTTTTTTAACCAATTAGTTGGTTTTGTTTTATATTGAGAATTGTGACTAGTTGACTTTGTTTTATATTGAGAAACGCTTAGGGGTGGGGGTTAGGTTAGATACATTTACATTTATTCATTTAGTAGACGCTTTTATCCAAAGCGACTTACAATTGAAGAATACAATAAACGATTCATCATAAAGAGGCAAATAAATGCAGGAAGTGCTTGCAATACAAAGCTTCAGGCATTGTTCAGAGTAGTACAAGCTAGACGGAGAGATTAAGGAAAGAGAAAGCAAAGTTTGTTGTATTCCAAGTCTTCTGAAGCCATGCTACATCTTTTATGAAGTGAGGAGAACAGAGCGAAACTTAATACAGTCACATCTGATTCAAAAGATAAATCCAAACTTTATCATGATGTAATTGGTCATGAGACACGCAAGAGCCAATCAGATTTCATAATCAAGGCTGATGTAGCACTTCTTCAGATGGCAGTTTTTGAATGTGTTTGTGATTTGAGCGTTATGTTGGATGGAGACGGGATTGCTTTTGGGTGTGTTTCTTGTAAAAATCAATTGTTTGGCCTAGAAAACTTGGAATATTTGTATTTTTTTAACCAATTAGTTGGTTTTGTTTTATATTGAGAATTGTGACTAGTTGACTTTGTTTTATATTGAGAAACGCTTAGGGGTGGGGGTTAGGTTAGATACATTTACATTTATTCATTTAGTAGACGCTTTTATCCAAAGCGACTTACAATTGAAGAATACAATAAGCGATTCATCATAAAGAGGCAAATAAATGCAGGAAGTGCTTGCAATACAAAGCTCTCTGTGATGGTACCACAAGGGTTCGCTCACTCAAAAGTGAGTGGAAGTAGAAGGGTGCTGAGCCTGTGGCTGTTCTATATGCAAGCATCAATGTCTTGAACTTGATGCGAGCTGCAACCGGGAGCCAGTGCAAGGAGATAAGGAGAGGTGTGACGTGGGCTCTTTTGTGCTCGTTAAAGACCAGTCGTGCTGCTGCATTCTGAATAATTTGTAAAGGTTTGATTGAGTATGATGGAAGTCCAGCCAGAAGAGCATTGCAGTAGTCCAGTCTAGAACCCAGTGATGTAGTGTATATGTAGAAGAGGATGGGTCCAAGAACTGATCCCTGAGGTACTCCAGTGAGCAGTTGATGTGCTTTGGAAACCTCCCCTCCCCAGGCCACCTTGAAAGACCTACCAGTGAGATAGGATTCAAACCAGCGAAGTGGAATCCCTGTGATGCCCAGTGATGAGAGGGCAGACAGGAGGATCTGATGATTGACAGTTGACAGCAGACTGACAATTCCAGAGACCCACAGAGAAAGAGAGAGCTATAGAAGAAGAGGTGCAGATAGAACGCAGGTGAGCAAGATTGCGTTGCCGTCTGCGTTTGATGTTAGAGTGTTGTTGTGAGACAATGTATTGAAATCACATGATCGAGGTGGAAAAGAGAGGATAGAAAGGAAAAATAGGAAAGAAATACTGAAGTGCGTTGCTGGTTTCGTTGCTCGGTTAAAGTCGCGCAGGAAAAAGTCGCAGGTCTTTACACTCGTAGGTCTTCACACGTGGAGGCTGAACACAGGTTAGGTACTCAGAAATGTCTAAATAGTAAATACAATTATTGGGGCTATTTAAATTGAACACCATACCCCAACATATGTCATCATGACAGTATTATTAATTGAAAATTAAAAAGGTGGTTAAAGTTGTACTCTTTAAAAAGTGACCCATGAGTCCATATGTGATGATTTGTAGTTTGATACAAATCCATCTGTCGCTTAAGATTGAGTCAAATTAGCACAGATGCCAAAAGGGACAGATTACACGAAATGCCCTTGTTCTCAAATACCATGAACAAAACTATACAAGCTAGAAGAAAATAGTACAATTTTGTTGGTTTCATGATCTCATGCTGTTTAGTGTAGTCTGGATTTCTGTTTATGCAATTTTATTTTCCCTTTTCACCATGTACAGTTCGAAAGGTACTAATATGTACTTTTAAAGTACTACATGTACATTTAACATACTAATATGTACCATTCAAGGGTAAATAAGGTACAAATGTACAATAAGGTATTGCCCCAGACCTTTTCTTATGA